CAGCCACAGAAAGCAGAGACAGAGCATATCTGCAGAGTAAGCTGGCTGGGAAGATTAACTGCATCTGTGATCTCTGGGTTTGATTAAGAGATCCTGCTTTTCAACCAGTGGAAGAATGGACGACGAGTCCCAGTGTCAACCTTAGGCTTCCAGATGCACCTGAATACCCACTACAGCCAAAGTATGCCTGCATGCACATGCATACCACACATGCTTGTGAAAAATGAAAAAAGAAAAGTACCTGGCTATTCATGTGCATTAATTAATGCAAAACTGCAGTGAGTTGAAACCACAGAGAAAGATGCCATGAACCAAACCAACTGTGCTTAATATTTCCTTTTACAGAAGCTTTGTAAACCAAGATTTGTAATTTTTCAAAATTAATTCATGACTAACTTATTAAGAAGATACTTATCTACCAAAGATTATGAATTTAAACATTGATAGTGCTTTGGTATCACATGTTTCCTCTGATTTTATGCCAGTTTGAGAAATGCACAGTGATAGGAATTTTCAGTCCTTGCATTGGTCATAATCCCTTCTTCCATGCAGGCTGCTACTTCTGTTACCGTGATCTGTCATTGGCCACTGAATTTAGCAGCTTGTGTCTCTTTTGAAAATCTGCTCATGAGACAGAGGTTATGCCTCATGAATCTTAGATGATATAGTTAGGACACACAAGGTCTCTCCTGTGTGACAGGGAGCGAAGAACAGCCTGAGGAATGATGGAGAGGGGGAAACTAACTAATGACAGAACTTTCTAGAAATCCTTCCTGGTAGGAGGCATTGAGAACATTAGACTACTAAGATGTCTGGTTTGCAAACTGTTTTCTAAGTGGGATGGTTTCATTTAGTGTCCACATTAGAAAGGAGCAGCCTAAGATGGAGATGTCTTCTAGAAAGTGAAATGATTCAATCTACTAAGAAATACAATTCATGAGAGCTCTCAGGTGTGGCAGCCTACACTGTGAGGGCAGGCCTTTCAAAGTTGGAGATCTGTGGGCTTACTCCTCTGTCCTCTTATTTAAAATGTTTCCTTTGGGCTCTTTTAATGAGAGTCGGGAGTCACTGTGTCAGGACTGTCAGCCCAACACTTGTTTTGAACTCTTCATAGGGTGTTACCCACAAAGGAAGAATGCCCCTCCTGCCTCTGGTGTTTATCAGGTGCTCACTAAGGACCAGGAACCAGGCTTGCCACTTGGGTGACTTTAGCCTCACAAAACTAGCCTTGAGAATCACAGACTATTACAAATGTCATCGATTGTCAGGGACTGTGGGATGCAGAAAGGGTAAACTCACCTTCATCTGATGGCCAAAGTCACATCAGTGAAGGAAGACTGCTGTTTTGTGTGCTATCCTTCCAAATTTCTAAATAGAGGGGATGATATTAATAATCACCTCTGGGGTTTCTAGATCCAAGAAAGAATGCACTGGACCAGTTTCTGAGATGCTAATAACAAACTGGGAAACTAAAATCAGTATAAATTCTCAAAAAAGCTACAGGTAGCTACTGACCTCCCCCTCTTTCTTGTTCTCTGTACAGTCTCATATCAAATTCCCTAACTGGGAGGGTGGGGCCCAGAAAGAAACCACATGATTATGCAGTGTAGAATCAGCCTAAAGATGCTTTTCTAAAAAGGAATGCCCGTGTACACATTTTATTTTAAAAGTCCACTGATTAAAAATATACAGATGTCTAGTCCTCAATCTGCATTTATTGCTGTAGATTGAATTAAACCCATAGCTTGTCTTCATGAATAAACTGTTACAAGTGATTTCACAGCTATTTCAGGGGAACACCATCCAGTAAAAAATCCTGGAGGACTTAAAATTCTGTATTTGCTCTGCCTAGTCCAGTGGCCACCAACATGTGAAATGTGGCTACTTTGACTCAGGAATGGGATGTCATATTTTACCTAGTATAAATTCCAATAGTCAAATTTTTGGACAGTGAAATTATAGACAAGGGAGAAACTGGTTCCAACAGACACTGCAAAATTCTAGACATGAACATTTTCATGTTCATGTCCTCTCTTTCTCTGGGTAGTGGGGTGAAAGGAGAAAAAAAGGAAAGGGTGGTTGGTTCCAAATGGGAGCAGAATTTTCTATTGTTTTTCTATCCTAAATTCAAGATGTATTTTATTAACAAAATTTGGACATGTTGAAAACTTGTGAAGGCTGCCTGTCCCCTTAGCTGCCTCTACTTGCCAGCACCCTAGGATTCTGTGTTGGACCATGGAGGCTCATTCTCCATTTATCATAGATGTATTTTCAAAGTTAGCTTAGAATTATGTTCCACCCCTACCCTTTTCATCTCACAGATTACTTTTAATTTGCTAATGACTCTGAGGGTTAATTTCAGGAAAATATTTTGTTTAAATCTATCCCAATCATTTCCAAACTGGAATGGGAGAGATTATTTTGGGTTTGGGACTTTGTGCCATGAGTTTTGGGGGGACATATTTACTAGTTAATCTCTAGAGTAAACAACACGGAGTAGGGGATCCTTTATTCCCCATTGTCCCATTCAGGCTGTTCTTGCTGTTGAGTGATCCAGTCACAGGTGGCTCTGTGGTCTTTCCTTACAAAGAAAAAGGAAATGTATATAGTATAGTTTTCTTTCTTAACAGGTTTTAGTGGTAGGCATTTTTTTTTTTTTTTTTTTTTTTGGCCATTTTTGCCATTTTTATTTAATGTCAGCAATTAGATGACAATGTTTTTTTTTTTTTTTTTTTTTTTTTTTAAAAAAAAAAAAAAAACAGGTATTTTAAGTCCTACTGTTTGTAGTGCTGGTGTCTTCCAGGTGTTTAATAGAATGTCATGGCTCTCTTCTCTGAAGACAGACGTCTGGGGTAACCACTTTCTATTTCCTGACACTGGAAACAGATACTGTTTGGGATTTCCTTTTATAGCTTGTTCAGCTAACGACTCCAGTGACCACTCAATTGTGGTCTTGTAGTAAATCAACATTTCTTTGAAATACCCAGCTGTTATGTAATTTTCAGTGTTTTACAAAGCCATCTCCCTAACTAAAACGTGCCTCTCTGTTGTTCTAATGATATCATTGTTGTATGTGATGGTTTTTGAAAATAAAAGAATAGTTCATTTTCTTTACCCTCCCCCCCACACTTGGCTTCTTTTAAATTAACACATGACTGATATGGAACAAACACTGGCTTCAGACCCTGTCACACCAACTGTGGCATCAATCTCTGGTAGCCCTCTGTGAATGACTTGCTCTAGATGGAATTTTGACTGACGAGAACTCACTGGGTCTGAGGTAACTTCTGCGTTGTCAAGCATGCATTTTAATAAGATATTAAAGTCAAACCCCATGAGCCATGTGTTGATAGTCTGTAGTTTATGGCTACCTCTCAGGAAAAGGAGATTTGACTTATTTTTACCAGAAAGCTTTTGGATGAAGATGAGGGACAGTGGGATGTTGTTAACCATTCAAGATGGTCAGTACTTTGACATTGAGGGTTGAATATTGACAGGTCTGGACCAAGGTGGAGAGCTTTTCCCCGTTTTCATCAGGCAATGAAGCCACAGCATTGCCCTAAAGAGTCTAGAAACCATGTCCCCTTAGCTAACTCAGAGAAAAGGCTGCCTCGAAAGTTAAGGGCACAGTGTACCAAGTTTTGTAAAGCCATTCACCTCTTCAGAGGCTAATGCCTCTCAAACTGGAGAACAATTAAATTGAAGTCTTTCCAAGCAACTGGGGAATTGAGCAAAATAAATCAGAACTCTTCTGATTTTGCTCAGGAGGCTGGCCTCATTATAAGAGCAGATCTATTAGCCTTCTTGCCATTGTCTTTCATTTCTCAAGTGAGGTGATTCTAATTAAATTAATCTGCATGTCAATCTATTGGTGATCAATCAAAGAGCCCGAGGTTTCCCCAATGCTGGTGGGTGCTTGTGGCTGACAGGGGCTGATAATGGAGGAAGAAATAAGCTGGCAGGAAAAGTTAATTAGTCAACATAATAGGTGGATTAAACAGGGGCTGGCTGATGGCCGTTTCTCGTGTCAAAGCATGAGTTGGGAGCCAAAGCTGCGATTACAGGCAATTATTATATTTGGTTGTAAGAGGTCACATGAATAAACATATCTCTGTGGGGTTCAGTTTTAATCCCGCTTCCCCTTTTAATATAAAGAGATATGTAGGCCAATCCTGTTCATTGTTTTAGTCAAAGTTCTCAGAGGCACACATTTTCTCAGACCCTTGTGGCAAGCTGGACTGAGTCACCCTTCGATGTGGCCTGGGCATCTGAGTTTGCGTTTCATCAGTTCTGTGTTTTACTTTTTTCTCTTTGAAAGAGATCTAAGTAAGACCTTTAATTAGCAAGGGTTTTTTTTTTTTTTGGGTGGGGGGGGTAGCATGATGATAATAGCTCTGAGGGAGGTTTAGATGTGATTTACTAAACTAACCTGGGACAAAAGAGTAAAATGTATAAGAAACTTCAATAAGACCTTGGGGAGAGGAAGACACAAGCAGATCCCAGCTTCTACTCCAACCCCTCTCATTTTCATTCCCCTATCTTCTTAACCCTGACACAGTAGGGAAGAGATATTTTAAAGATTTAAAAGACTTCTATTTGCATGATCTACTGTGATATCTACTTCAATGTCTAAACTGAAGGGTAATTTAGGTGAAACACAGCCACCCTTGTATAATATATATATATATATATATATATATATATATATATATTTGTACTAATAAAGACCGCCTTGTAAAAATTATGGTTAACAGGGTACCTTTTGCTGCATAACTATAAACTGTGCAATTTTACTTAAAACGGCATCAAAAGCGTTCCATGCTGAAGACCCACTCATCAATAGCGCCTCTTGTTAGATATGTACAACATAAGCACCAGTTATTATGTGAAATAGCTATGCAATTTTCTTCAGCTCCCAGCTGTTATTTATTTAACTTGAGTTTATTTCCCACCATGCTTTTATATGAAAATGCTCATTCATTTTCCTCTCCTGTCTCTAGGTCGTGGTATCTACCACAGTCAACGTGGATGGCCATGTCCTGGCAGTCTCCGATAACATGTTTGTCCACAATAATTCCAAGCATGGGCGGAGGGCTAGGAGGCTTGACCCCTCGGAAGGTACGCCCTCTTATCTGGAACATGGTAGGCGAATCATTTTCATTGGTTGGCATTGCTACTTTTAACTGTGACTTTGCGTGACTTCTTCCTTCCACCTTCACCACATTTCCTATGGGCACAAATTTTAGAGTTTCCAGTTGAACACTGCTGTTGTGCTTTGCATTTTGACCCTGCAAACTAAAAAGCTAAGGATTTAAAGGCATGGGTCTATCTTTTAAGCACACTGTTTTTGGTTGCATGCCTGACTCTGTGTCTTGGAATGCTGGTATCTCTTACTCTCAGTTTGGAGAGAGAGAGACAGACAGACAGACCTGGGCCAAGGAGCTCCCATTTGACTACAAAATGAGAAAAGTCCAGTCCGTAGGTGAATAGGGCAAAACATCCAAACCTGCCAGCACATCTGTATAACTAACTACTTGTGGATTTCACTTGGAGATCAGGTTTAGAGTTAAGGGTGGTCATCCTTCCTGCTGTGGTACTCAAATGCCCCTCCTCTGCCTTCAATTCTCTATGCCAACCACTCCTCCTTCATCTTCATGTGGCATAGCCTGCTTTCTACAGGGAGACTTTGGCCAGGTAGAAATCACTGTCACCAAAGGATGTGAAATCACTGGCTATCTGTGAGACAATTGGAGGAAACAGTCAAAACTGGTTTGAGAAAAGGGCATGTTACTCAGAGGGAATCTGAATTAGCTTGGTGTGCATCTAAATAACTCACTTGAATATCTAGGTGATGAATTCCTCTTTCTGTCTACCCAAGAATCTACTGCATACCAGCCGCCAATTTTGCTTTCTCTGGTCTTCCCAAATGAAACCCAACCAGCTCTTCTCACTCTACCACCCCTCCTTTGCCAGGTCAGCAGGATTCCTTTGAGAACACAACCATACAAATTATCATCCGATAGCCTGACTTTTACTATGGCCCACAAGCTATCCATGACATAATTCACAAGGTAGAAAATTCCCTTCCCTGCCAGCATCCCAATTTAATAAACATAGCCCTGTCATCATTTTTTTCCTGTTTTTTTCCACCTGTGCTTGAGGAATGCACAAACAGTACATTTCATTAATTAGCCCGATGTCATACTCTTAGAAGGCATTTCCTCCCCACACACCCAGTTTTATAGTCTTTCAAAAGTAAACCATCATCGTTCAAATGCTGAGGCTTTATGTTTCATTAGTGCTGAGATGGATGGGTATTACTTTTTTCAGGAGGCCATTTGAAACACCTGCTCATGATTACATCCCTTGCTCCATTTCTGTACTTAAAATTATCCTGATTCTCGATTTACAGTAATGGGGCTTCCTTAATACCCTTAAAGTCACTGAAGGCATCGTATGGCTAAAGGTGCTTAGGTGGGAGGAAGAAAAAACACTTGATAAATAATCATCAGGCACATTTTGGAGAGCCTGGGTCAGGGACCAAAGTTGTTGCTTTGACTCTGACTGGTTGCAATGGAAACTGGCTGATCTAGAGATGGCCTTAACAGTCATTTGGAGATCTGCAGTTCATGGTTTTTAGAGAAAGCTCTAAGCATAGCTCCGGTGTTGAGCTCCTATCCCCCCCCTTAGGAAGTGATGAGAAGGCTGGCAGCCAATAAAGCATTTACTCTAAAGAATCTGCTTTCAACTTTCAGAACCCACATTAAAAAGTCAAGTCTAGTCTGGTAACATGCTTGTGATCCCATCTCTGGGGAAGCAGAGATAGCAGATCTCAGGGACCCATTGAGCAGGCAGCCTAGCCCTATTTGGTGAGTTTCAGGTCAACAAAAAGAACTAGTCTCAAGAAACAAGGTGGTGGCACCTGAGAAACTATCTATACCCAAGGTTGTCTTCTTCCTGTACACACACACACACACACACACACACACATACACACACACACACATACATACACACACACACACATACACCACACACACACACCCAGCACAGGTAGGAACATGTATATGCAAATCAATACAAGTGAAAATAAATTTTCAAAGGAAATGGAACACCATACTACTTATCCCTGCAACAAATATCCCAAAGTAAATAAATAAAAAGTCACCAGGTAGGAAGGATGCATCCAAAAGGTAGAGGTCAGTAACACTGTTTTGCAAAGTGATGCAGAGAACAAAGTCTTAAAATAGGCACCAGCAATCCCAAATTCTATTTTTCATCTCACTCTGGTCAGATGTTCCAGTTTGTCAAGAATCAAAACTCTCTTACTTTTTAATTCTTAATAGCGAATTAATTGTTATCATTTAACAGCTAACAGTTAGTATTTGAACACAGAAGGGAGGAAAGAGTACAAAAGGAGAGTGCTGCCCATGCTAACCATTGAGCTCTCTTGCTCAGAACATGACCAGACATCCTCTTAGCTCAAATGCTCCCCCTGTAAGGATACATGCTAATGTACCAGCTGGGACACCATCTTGTCCCCAGACAGAAAGAAAATACTGTCCTCTGCCTTGTTGACCAATCTACAAAGAATGGTGACATTTCCCTGTTTATCAATGAGTAGTTAGATCACTGGAGAGGTCATGACGCCCTATGTCCTTCACACTCATCAAACCCTTACTGCATGTCTCCCCACTAGAATGAAAAGGTAGCCATGTTCAGATCTTGAGTAATGACAGTGTAGTTCCATAGAAATCTCATTTTCTACAAAGTAGCCATAGATAACCACCCACTCATTTAGACACTTCAAACGCATGCATAAATACCTCCTTGGCCAAGGGTGACTATTGACCTTTCTTAGTGATGTCTGGGAGTGGACCTACATGCTAATTCATGTTGGTTTGGAGGATAATGTGTCTGTCTTTCCATTGGAAAATCCCATTTAAAATGCCTTATTTAAGGCTCACACCCAGTCTCTGCATTGCCACCTTAACTCCTCACAGCTTGTCTACACCTCTTTAACCTATAGATTCCTCATTATTCTGGTCCTTTTCCCACCTCATTTACAGGTAGCCTGGATTATTTTGAGCAATACAGCACATCTCTATTTATATCCTGTTTGTCAGACTCTGGGAGGAAAGTCCCTCTTGTGGCTCATCTTTCTACATTTCTAGAAAAAAAAAAAAACATGGTGTACATTCATGCATATAGTTTTCCCTGAAAGGCCCATGCCCTTGGAGCTCCTAGGCTCAGATTAATGTCTCTGGATTTAAAATCTGAGGGATGACAAAAGCAGATTTATTTCCTAGAATCTTGCATGATCCAAAGAGGCTGAAACTTGCAACACTGTAGCTTGTGGTAATCACCCCCTCCCTCCCATTTTTCTCTCCATTCATAAATAGTAAGATTTTCTTTGGCTGGATATTTATGGGTATCTTTATTTATGCTTCTTCTTTAAGCAATGGCTTTATGGAAGATGTACAGTTGCGGAGAGAGGCAGCATCACAAGTAACTGCTCTCACGATTCTAATTTCTACAAAAACCTGGGTTTGGGACCAAGGGATCTGAATCGTGCCCACCCGTGGTAATATGAAACATTGGTATATATGTGTGTACCTCATCTTCCAGTCAAGCCACTCAGGCAAATTTGTGGACTGTGTACAAGACTGCTTGAAAGGGCTTCAGGAATGCTGTTATTGTCACTGTGGTTCATCTCAAGTTTCAGGTTCTATTTACTCGAATTTAAGGCCAATTGTGGCATCAGTTTCTCTATTTCTTTCCCCCATGGCAAAATGCTGTGTCCTCACAATGCTAGAGTGCAGAGACCCTGTCAGCTTGCATGCGCTAACACTTTATTATCTAATGATCTAATATGCAACAAGGCAGAGTGCCTATGCTCATCATCCTGACACAGAATGCCGGGAGAAGTGACTAAATTACTTTATGTACCATTAGCGCTAGCAGCTATGGTGAACTCACCGGCAGCATTTATGCAAATGTCTGTGAATACACTCTAGTGGCTTTGTCAGGGAGCTGTCTGACAAGCAGTTTAAATGCTCATTTTTAGGATATATATATATATATATATATATATATATATATATATATGGACATGTATCTGTTTTTCCTCCCTTTTTTGTCCCTTTCCTTTTGGAGTCTCTTGGAGATCTTACATCCCATGTGACAACTAAGAAAATCAGAACAGATTAGAGAACTCCTATCTGTAGGGTCTTTTCTAGGAGTGGGGTCAAGCCTATGTTTTGGTGGCATTTGCTTTCAAACATATAGCGCTTAAACAAAAAAAGGAAACAGCAGCAACAATAAAACCCTAGCTCTTATGAGTTTGTACAGCCACTATATATATTTTTGAGAAAACAAAAAGCAATGAAAATATTGAGTGTTTCATAAAAGAGTGTTTTAATGGTCATGAGTTATAATCTGGGTTACTATGTTGCTTTGTGGCTCAGTTATTAAAAACAAAAAAATACTTTTAAATAATGGAAGGTGAGTTGGGCAGTGGTGGTGAACACCTTTAATCCTAGCACTCAGGAGGCAGAGGCAGGCAGATCTATGTGAGTTCAAAGCCAGCTTGGTCTACAGAATGAGTTCCAGGGCTACACAAAGAAAGAAACTGTCTCGAAAAACAAAACAAACAAAAAACAAGAAAAAGCAAAGTAAACAAACCAAAAACAAGAAAAAGGAAAGTAGTGAATAGATTTGTGGGCATCACATGTAAATGAATTAGAATTACATTTCCCTTCAAAGTAGATACAAAGCAATAAAACACGAACATGTCAGGATCCCAAAATAAAAGAAATCAAAACAAAAGTGGGCTTTGGAGAAATGACAAATATTTTGGAGAATGAAGAATGGTGACAGGCTCACTGGGCCATGTCCCCATTGTAATTACAGCTTTAGAATGACTACAAGTAAGTCTGCCACCACCAGTTGGTTCTGACCTTTCGGTCACATCTCCCTGGCATTATGGTGTTACTCTGGCTCTTTAGCATATGACCTTCATAAAGCCTTTTGCTTCAGGCTGGGCAGTTCTTGCTTATGTTGCTTGCCCCAGGGTATTCCGCCTCATTGAGTTCTCTCTGTCCAGCTGCATTTACATTTGTTATGGGCATGAGGAGAAAGAT